GGGATTTCTTTCCATCTGCCTCCATGTATTTGCCTGGGAGGTTCTTACATCATTACACACACACACACACACACACACACACACACACACACACAGACACACACACCACTTGTCTTGAGATTTTTATGCTGCATTATCTCGAATCTAGACTCCAGAATCTTCAGAATCTCACTGTGAGAAGACCCAAAACATGATTCTGGTGGTCACAAGCACAGGAAGAGAGAGCAAGAGAGAATACATTGTTTTATGAAAAATTGAGGGGGAAAACCAATATTTTCTAATTAAGATATATCTTATAATGCATTGATACCCAGCACAAATATATAACTAAGTTATTAAATACTGTAAGCTGACATTTTGCTGTGTTATCAACATCTGTAATGGTTATCTCACGGCTACTGTTGCTGTGATAAAACGCCATAGTCATAAGCAACTTGAAGAAGGGAGGGCTTATTTCCCTTCCACTTCCATATCAGTCCACCATTGAAGGAAGTCAGGGCAGGAGCTTAAAACAGAAAACTGGAGGCAGGAACTGATGCAGAGGAAATCTCAATTGAAAAAAATTCCCCCACCAAACTGGTCAGTCAGCAAGCCTGGGTGCGTTTTCTTGATTGATGACTGATGTAGGGGCAGGGATAGCTCACTATGGCCAGTACCACTCTTGGGCTGGTGGTCCTGACTGGTATAAGAAAACCCTTTGAGCAAGCCATGAAGAACAAACTAGTAAGCACCCTTCCTCCGTGGTCTCTGCTTCAGTTCTGGCTGCCAAGTTTCTGTCCTGAATGAGTTCCTGCCCCCACTCCCCTTCATGATGGATCACAAACTGCTGTAACCTGAAATCAACTCTTTCCTCCACAAGTTGCTTTTGGTCATGGTGCTCTATCACAGCAATAGAAATACTAAGACAGAGCAGAAGACGAGGTAGGAGAAACAAAAAACCAAATTTTGGTTGAAAATGTCACAATCTAATTCTGTGTATGCTAATTTAAAACTCTTAAAATGATAACAATAAATTGATGTTGTGAGTTATTTCAGATAGGTACTCAGATAGGTGGAGTGGACTACTCTTTTTTACTTTTGTGTTTTTGAGACAGGGTTTCTGTATAGCTTTGGAGCCTATTCAGGAACTCACTCTGTAGACCAGGCAGGCCTTGAACTCACAGAGATCTGCCTGTCCCTGCCTCCTGAGTGCTGGGATTAAAGGCATGCGTCACCACTGTCTGGCTGAGTGAATTGCTCTTATAAGTCCTATTTCCTCCCCATTTTCCCCTGAAGAATCATAATACAGTGTCCTTAAATGAATAATGGGTTTGGGTGTGATGATTATAAGGCTTATAATTCCAACTCTTAGGAGGCAGAGGCAGGAAAATTATGAGCCATGGCTGTCCTGGGTGGCATAGCAAGCAAGACCTTGTCTCAGACAAAGAAATAAACAAAGAAGGATTAAGCTGTGATCCATCCATGCCTTTACTACTCTAAAACTGAACACATACCCCCTCCCTACAACTACTTATGTGCCGCTTAAGTGGGTCTCAGAGGACTTGTACTGACGGAAGAGACTGACCTGGGGTTACAAAATCAACTGTCTCATGTGTGTCAATTTCTGTAATGACACGATTGCAGTTCAGCTTCTTTACATGGTCTCATTTTTCTTCTTTATAGGCAACTAATTTATACTTAAGCCCAAATCAGTGAAACAAAGTATAAATAGAAGATATATATGTATAATTTTAAGTAATTTGCTGAAATAGAATTCTATCTTTTTTTTATTGAGAAAAGGAGAAAGAAAAAAAAACAAGTTTCCACCTCCTCCCAGCCTCCCATTTCCCTCCCCCTCCTCCCACCCTTCTCCCCCTCCTCCCACTCCTCTCCCCCTCCCTCTCCAGTCCAAAGAGCAGTCAGGGTTCCCTGCCCTGTGGTAAGTCCTACGTCCTCCCCCCTCCGTCCATATCTAGGAAGGTGAACATCCAAACTGGCAAGGCTCCCACAAAGCCAGCACATTAAGTAGGATCAAAACCCCGTGCCATTGTCCTTGGCGTCTCATCAGCCCTCATTGTTCGCCATGTTCAGAGAGTCCGGTTTTATCCCATGCTTTTTCGGTCACAGTCCAGCTGGCCTTGGTGAGCTCCCAATAGATCAGTTCCAAGATGCTCACTTTTATTCTGTTAGTGAGGTTTTCTTCTTTGGTATCTACATGTGGCAAAATGCATCAAGTACTACATATGTGAAGCATGCACATGTTGTTGGCTTCTTTTTAAGATGACACTACTTTCAGGGATGAAAACAATTGAGAAAGGTAAAGGTAAAGCTATGTAAATGGGCAAACTTAATATTTTAAAATTCCTTATAGAGTGGAGACCATGCTCCTTGCTTTACTGACAACATTGGAGGTAAAACTGCAGCCTAACTCTGCCGCAAAGTCCAACGTATTGGAGGAAGTAGGCTATCAGTGCTGCACCTGTGCCTTCTAAACACTATTAGTTTTCTTTGGGTGCTATTAGTAATTTATTTTTTTAAACACATTCTCATGTATTCAGGCTGGCCTGGAACATGCTATGTAGCCAAAAATGACTTTGAAACTTTGATCCTGCTGTTTCTACTTTCCAAGTGTATTTCTGGGATTCTAGATGTGCACCCAGTATATGCAGTGCTGAGGTTCAAACCTAGAGCTTCATGAATTCTAGGCAAGCCACATCCCCAACATCTACTGATACTGGTCCTTCCATGTGAGGCATCTATTGATACTGGTCCTTCTGTGGGCATCTACTGATACTGGTCCTTCTGTGGGCATCTCCTGATACCGTTCCTTCCATGGGCATCTACTGATACCAGTCCTTCAGTGGGCACCTACTGATACCGGTCCTTCTGTGGGTTTGATATAAGAAACACCATTGGGAGGTAGATATCTTTGATAGACAACCCCATATCTCTCATTCGGTGAATTCTACAGTTCATATCCTGAAGCAGTGTTCCTTCCCCCTGCCAGAACGCACATAGAAATATCTAGTCCTGAAGGCTGGGAAAATGGCTCATTGGGTAAGAGCGTTTGCTCTACATACATAAAGACTGGAGTTCAAATCCCCAGCACTCACAGGCAGCATGCCTGTAACCCAGTATTGTGGAATGGAGACAGGTGAACCCCAATGGTTGCCTAGTTGAAGGGATATGGCCTATTCAGACATGGACAGGGACACATGCATCTGCATATTCAAATGCACGTAGCTTCCCCACCCAAGAAATGTCCAACCCCTTTCATCCTTGGTCTGTGGGATAAAGCATCAGGAAGAAGTGTGTTTCCAGTGTTCCATGCTAGTTCAGTCTCAACCATTCAGTGTCTGCTGGACATTAGATTTACTTGTCTGGCCCTCACCCCTGCAGGATCCAATATTCCATGCTTGTTGTTTTTTCCTTCTTCCCCACCCTTCTTCCTTCCCACCCTTCCTTCTCCACCCTTTCTTCCTTCCCATCCCTCCCCTTCTTCCCCACCCCTTCTTCCTTCCCATCCCTCCTTCTTCCCCACCCTTCCTTCCTTCCTATCCCTTCTCCCTTCCCATCCTCCTTCCATTCCTTTTTCTCCACCACTCCCTCCTTCTTCCCCACCCCTTCTTCCTTCCCAGCCCTCTTTCTTCCCCACCCCTCCTTCCTTCCCATCCCTTCTCCCTTCCCATCCTCCTTCCATTTCTTTCTCCACCACTCCCTCCTTCTTCCCCACCCCTTCTTCCTTCCCAGCCCTCATTCTTCCCCACCCCTCCTTCCTTCCCATCCCTTCTCCCTTCCCATCCTCCTTCCATTCCTTTTTCTCCACCACTCCCTCCTTCTTCCCCACCCCTTCTTCCTTCCCAGCCCTCTTTCTTCCCCACCCCTCCTTCCTTCCCATCCCTTCTCCCTTCCCATCCTCCTTCCATTCCTTTTTCTCCACCACTCCCTCCTTCTTCCCCATCCCTTCTTCCTTCCCATCCCTCCTTCTTCCATACCCCTCTTTCCTTCCCACCCTTCTCCTTTCCTACTCCTTCCTTCCCACCCTATTCCTTCCTATCCCTCCTCCCTTCCTACTCCTCCTTCCTTCCCAACTCCTGTCTTGCCACTCATTCTTTATTCCCACTCCTCCTCTTTCCACACCTGTCCTCCCTTCCCACCTCTCCTCCTCCCCCACTCGTCCTTTCCCACCCCTCCTCCTCCCCCACTCCTCCCTTCTCCCCCCTCCTCCCTTCCTACCCCTCCTCCTCCCCGATTCCTCCCTTCCCACCCCTCCTCCCCCACTCCTCCCTTCCTACCCCTCCTCCTCCCCACTCCTCCCTTCCCACCCCTCCTCCTCCCCCACACTCCTTCCTTCCCACCCCTCCTTCCCACCCCTCCTCCTCCCCACTCCTTCCTTCCCACCCCTCCTCCTCCTCCACTCCTCCCTTCCCACCCCTCCTCCTCCCTTCCCACCCCTCCTCTTCCCCCACTCCTTCCTTCCTACCCCTCTTCCTCCCCACCCCTCCCTTCCCACCCCTCCTCTTCCCCCACTCCTTCCTTCCCACCCCTCCTTCCTTCCCACCCCTCCTCCTCCCCACTCCTTCCTTCCCACCCCTCCTCCTCCCCCACTCCTTCCTTCCCACCCCTCTTCCTCCGTCACTCCTTCCTTCCAGACTTGTCCTTCCTTCCCATCCCTTCTCCTTTCCCACTCCCTTCTCCTTCTCCACTTTTTCCTTCCCACCCCTCCTCCTCCCCACTCCTCCCTTCCCACCCCTCCTCCTCCCCCACTCCTTCCTACTCCTCCTCCTTCCCCACTTCTTCTGTCCCATCCCTCCTTCTTCCCCACCCCTTCTTCCCCCTCCCCCATTCCTTCCCCTCCTTCCCTCCATGCTCCATCATTAGAGATTCTCAGTGAGATATCATTTTCACACCAGATGGATTTTATTTTCACATCCAAATACTGCATAGAAACAATTCAGTCTACACAGTTTCCATTGCTGTCAGGCCTTTGGAAGATCGGCAGGCCTCTGTTGGTAGGGAGGCTATTGACTCTCCATGTCAGTTATTGAAGCAGTGGAACTCCCTAAGCTGCTGTGGTCTGGGTCAGTCTCAGTGCGAGCTAGTTCTTTCACCAGGTCTTGGTAGTGACCATACATTGCTTTCCGGATGACATTTTTAGTCTTTTTCGCAGTTTTCTCAGATGCCTTTCTTTTTAAGGCCCGTGGTGGCGGGGTTTTCTTGCCCTTCTTGATAGTCTTACGGACCTGGAAGGACAACAGAGTAAAGTGACATGGGTCTTCAAAAACATGGAATACAGAAGGGGACTGAAGGAGAAGGGCTACGGGTTGAGTGAGGAGTTGACACCAGGACAAGAAAGGTTTAGGAGTGCTAGGAGGGGGCAAATCACTGGAGAAAGAAGTCTGCTTAACTCGGGTATTCTTACCTTATTGGGGTTTCTGAAGCAGAAGCTGATCTCACCACCATTCTTCTTGCTGGGAGTTTTGGGCTTGCGGCGACTCTTGGGCTTTTGGGTCACGGTACCGGAGGTTGATGGGCTCACATCTGTACGAGGATCCTGCGACTTTTTGGTGGCCTTCCCCATTCTGAAGCCTGGTTTGGTCTGCCTCAACAGCGCTGGGGCACTGACTTATGAAGCCACCCAGGACAATGGAAGGCCACACCCTTGAGTCCTGATTGGTCAGCTGCTTTGGCATCACAAAGGACTGTGTCCCGGATCTGAGCAGGCACTGGACTGGAAATCAGTGTGGCTCAGAAACGGAAAGTACCATCTTTGACAAGACTTGTTGAGGGAGATGCTGTGAAGGCTATTGCCTCCAGACAGGAGGCTTTTCTTGACTATCTCCAAGAGATTCACGCCACCCTTTTTCACATCCCTATGTTGTGATAGAACATGTGGCAGAGGGTTTGCTCCAGTAAACTCTTCCCGAAACACGCCCCCCCCCCACACACACTCAATGGTTCATTCTGCCATGTCCCTTCCTTAGTAAGTGAGCTAGAGTTTGGTGTGTTTTACCTTCAGTCCTTCCAAAATTAATATTGAAGCCTCAGTGCCTATGTGAATCACCCCGTAAATAAAGACAAAAAGAATCTATTCATGAATGGATATCTCCCTACCCGGTGAATTTGGCATTAAAAGCATGGTGTGCTGGCAAGTTTTATGTTAATTTGGCACAAGCTAGTGTCATCTGAGAGGAGAGAGCCTCAATTAAGAAAGTGCTTCCACATTCAGAGGGTCCAGTTTGATCCCATGCTTGTTCAGTCCCAGTCCAGCTGGCTTTGCTGAGCTCCCATTAGTTCAGGCACACTGTCTCAGTGGGTGGACCAACCCCTCATGGTCCTGACTTCCTTGCTCATATTCTCCCTCCTTCTGCTCTTCAACTGGACCTTGGGAGCTCAATCCAGTGCTCTGATGTGGGTCTCTGTCTCTATCTCCATCTGTCACCTGACAAACGTTCTATGGTGATATTCAAGATAGTCCTCAGTCTGTCTATGGCCAAGGCCAGTTCAGGCATCTTCTCCTCCACTGCCCAGGGTCCTAGCTGGGGTCATCCCCGTGGACTCCTGGGAACTCCTCTAGAGCAAAGCCACTTGCTAATCCTAAAATGGCTAACTCAATTAAGATATCTCCTTCCCTACTCCCATATCCATCCTTCCTCCATCTCAACCATCCCACTCCCCCAGGCTCTCCCCAACCCTCCCCTTCTCCCCTCTCACTCCCCTCTTCTTTTTCCTCTACCCTCTCCCTGCCCCCATGCTCCCAACTTTTGCCTAGCGATCTTGTCTGCTTCCACTTTCCAGGAGGATCTATATGTTTTTTTGTGGGTTCACCTTAATACTTAACTTCTCTAGGATCATGAACTATAGGCTCAATGTCCTTTGTTTATGACTAGAATCCACTAATGAGTGAGTACATACCATATTCATATTTTTGGGACTGGGTTATCTCACTCAGGATAGCTGAGGGGCCAATGATAATGGCACTGGGATTTGTCTCTACTGCATGTACAGGCTTTTTGGGATCCTATTCTCTTTGGATGCTCACCTTCCTAGGTCTGGATGTAGTGGGGAGGGCCTTGGACTTTCCACAGGGCAGGGTTCCTTGCCCTCTCTTAGGACTGGAGGGGGTGGGGGGGGCGGGAGGGAAGTGGGAGGAGGGGAGGAAGTGGGAATTTTGATTGGTATTATTTATAAAGTAATAAAAAACAAAATAAACTAGAAGCTAAAAAAATAAAAGAAAAGAAATAAATAATTCTTTAAGTCTAAGAAAAGAAAGAAAGAAAGGAATAAATAAATAAATAAATAAATAAATAAATAAATAAAGTGCTTCTATAAGATGGTGTAGGCAAGACTGTAAGGCATTTTCTCTCCAGATCCATCAACCCTTTCCTTACTGCTGTGGTTTGCTATTAGGAGGTGTGGCCTGTTGGAATAGGTGTGACTTTATTGGAGGAAGTGTGTCACTAGGGGGTGAGCTTTGAGGTTTCAGAAGCTCAGGTGAGACCTAGTGGCTCAGACTTTCTTCCTGATGCCTGTGGATCCAGATATAGAAGTCTCAGCTACCTCTCTCCAGCACCACGTCTGCCTGTGTGCCACCTTGCTTCCCACCATGATGATAATGAACTAACCCCTGAACTGTGAGCCAGCCCGGTTAAATGTTTTCCTTTGTAAGAGTTGCCATGGTCGTGGTGTCAATTCACAGCAATAGAAAACCACACTCTAAGACACTTACTTATCCAATATTGTGTCCTCTTAAAAACACACACACATTAAGAGCAAGTTGTGCTGCTCAAATGTCTTGGATTTGTGGCCTTCCACTGGAGCATAGTTAATTTACCAGGGGCTAAACTCTTAGAGAAAATGGTCTCTTCCTCTCCTAATGGCTAATAGTTGCCCATAGCTCCATAGCCATGGATGGAATTTTCTTCCCAGCTTCAATTTCCTTGTTGTGGTTTGGTCTGCTTGGGCTTGCACAGGTTGGTGCATGCTGCCCCAATTGCTGTGAGTTCATAAGTGTAACTGTTCTGATACGTCCAAAAGATAATCTTTTCTTGAGCTCGTCCATTGCCTTTGGCTCTCGTACTTTTTCTGCTCCCTCTTTTGTAATGATTCCTTAGCCTTGGGAGGAGAGAGTGTGGCTTTTATGTTCAATTTACAGTTGAGTCTTCTGCAATCTCTTATTCTTTACACAGTGACCAGTTGTGGGTCACTGTGCTGATCACTATCTACTGCAAAGAGAAGCTTCTCAAATGAGGGTTGAGCAATGTGTTGATCTTTGTGTATAATGAAACTTCATAAGGAGTCAGTTTAATATTATGCTAGTTTAGCAAAGTAATAGTAGTAGGTTCTCCCTAGGGACTATGACCTGTCTAGCCCAGAGGTTCTTGCTCAGATAATGGTGCCAAGTATGGGTTTCGTCTTGTGGAGTGGGAGGGATTGAAATCAAATTAGAAAGAGGCTAACTACTCCTATGATGTTCATGCCACTATTGCACCAGTGGGCAAGTCTTGCCAGGCAGTTAGTTTTGTAGCTCTCAGGGTAAACAAATGGATGTGATTGGTGGTTGATTTTCTCCTTAGGTAGTGTGCATCTTCTGTCACAGTGAGAGCTAGCCAGTAGAAATGAAACCCCCTGAGCAGTGCTAGCTTGATTTCTCCATTTTCTCTGTAGTTTCTTCAGCACTAGGGCCTTATCATAAGCAATGGTCTGTAATATTTTGAGAGTCTATGGGACCTCAGTGGCCAACAATTACAAAAGAACTAGCCCTTTCCTGAAGCCGGACTTATTTGTTAGCCTTTGATGTCTAGTAGAGGCATTGTTATCGTTTAATTGTTATATTTTAATCTCTCTCTCTCTCTCTCTCTCTCTCTCTCTCTCTCTCTCTCTCTCTCTCGCTCTCGCTCTCTCACTCTCTTGTGTGTGTGTGTGTGTGTGTGTGTGTGTGTGTGTTAAAATTTCTTTCTATTGTAGGGCAGTGGTGGCACATGCTTTTAATCCCAGCACTCGGGAGGCAGAGGCAGGATGATCTCTGTGAGTTCGAGGCCAGCCTGGTCTCCAGAGTGTGAGTTCCAGGACAGCCAGGGCTACACAGAGAAACTTCTATTAATTTTTCTTTCTGTATTTTGAGATAGGAGGTCATCTAGCCCAGACTGAACTCAAGTTGCCGTCAAACTTACTACGTAGCTAAGGATGACCTTGGCCTCTCAGTCCCCCTGTCTGTAGTTCCTAAGTGCTGGGATTACAGGATTGAGCTATCACTCTTAGTTTGTCTGGTACTGGGTAGGGAGTTACATCTCCATTCCTCTACTAGGTATTTTGAGTAGTTTCATGGTTTGCTGCCAACCATGTTTATTTTCCTCTGCTATTGAACATTAGATGTTTTTCCTCCTATATAGCGCCATTCCTGTACTCATTAGCCATCCTCTCTCTATTCCTCCCTCCCCAATGCTCTCAACTCTTTATTGAAACCTAACATATATACTTCAATGTGCACAATTATAATTGAAACTGTGATAAGTTTTCCTAGCATGAACAAGCCAGTGTATCCAGGGCTCCAGATGCTCTTTGCACTACTGAGTTTCTTGTCTTCTCTTTCCAGCCTCCTAACACAGCAGAGCATTTTTTCCCTTCTTTCAAAGTTCATTTACATGGAATTATGCCCTAGCTGTTCTTCCTTTCTCTTCATTAAAAATATTACATTTTTATTTGTTTTGTATGTGCACATGTTTATGTGTGTCCGTGTGTATGTGCCATGCATGTGTGAAAATGTTAGCGGGTCAACTTGCAAGAATCAGTTCACTCCTGATTTAAGGGTCCTGGGAATCAAACTCAGATCTTCAGTCTTGGCAGCAGGCACCTTTACCTGATGTGCCATGTCATTCCCACCTTAATTAAGTAATTTGTTTTTTTAATCTTGTTTTTCTTTAGACAGGATCTCTATATGCCAGCCTTGTATTTAACTTGTTGTGTAATGGACAATGGCTTTGAACTTCTGGTCATCATGACTGCATAAGCTGCCATGATGAGCTTGTATAGTACTGGGGAACTCAAGGCTTGGTGCATGCTAGGCAGGCATTCTACCAGCTGAGCTACATCTAGGTACAAGCTATTCTGTGACTAGTTTCTGTCTCTCAACACTTGATCCATGAGACTCATCTTTTTGCTTTGTATGTTCAAAGTTCATTTATTTTCCTCCTATCTAGTATTCCATCATGTGAGTATATTGCACTGTTACCATCCATTCTGCTGCTCACATTGCCTCTCATTTTTGGCTTTTATGAATAGTGTTGCTGTGAACATTCTGAAACTGGCCCTTTCTGTAGATATTTGTGTACATCTCCATTATGTTAAAAGGAAAGCATGGAATCATGGCCTTAGGAAATGCTTATGTTCAACTATAGTAGATACTGACAGTTTTCCAAATTGTTTGAACCAATTCACCATTCTCCCTGCAATGTAGTTTTATTTACTCCATATTCCTGTAAGCACTTAGTACTCTTTGTAATTTTGATTCTAGCTATTTTTTGACTGCATAGTGGCAAGGAATTATTATTTGCATTTATTCAATATAGAAACGGGGCCCCT